CCTTCCAACCTTAAATATTCTGTGAATTCTGTGAACAAAAGGCATTGGCAGATTAAAGTTTTTCTAATGCATCCAGTGAGGCCATTAATTTAAACTGAAGACTGTTGGTGTCCTACTGGAAGACTCTAGGCTGAGCTTGAATTTTCCCAGGTGCTTGTGTTGCATGAGGGATGTGTGTGCTTAGCAGGACTGAGCTCCAGCTCCATGCAGAGGTCGGGGGTGTGTGTGCACTTACTTATATGTTCTGGACAAAGGTGGAGGACAAAGGCTTTCCACACATGTAGAAGACTTTTCTTTAGGCAGTGTGATAGTCTCAATCCTTCTTGATAGACAAGCTAGATACCAAGAATATGGAGGAAAAATGCCTTTCTACTTTGGTGGCTCAAGATTTGGGGATTCMTTTCCCTTTGAATAATTCCTTCTCCATGCGAATGAAGTATCAGTGAAAGGGCATTTGTATGCCCTCCAACCCAGGAGGAGACTCTTCTGCATCTTATCTGCATCAGCCCTACTTSGCTGTAGGGCCGAGTTTCTGGATAAAGGAAAGATCTTGTTTTCTACRTTGCTCTCCAATTTCCAGCCAAGATGGAAACTCCCAGGTAAACGCAAATTTTTGGTCAAATTAGACGTATCAGTACTGGATGTTTTTCTGCTTTTTGTTTGTTTTCTGTTCAGTGAGGCAGGGGGGAAATACTTCAGTAAACAGGGTCAGAAAATTGGAGAGCATGTGCAAAAGTATCCTTGAAGGGTAGACTGGTTCTGTCTTAGCCAATAATAATAATAATAACAATTAAAAAAAGGGATGATGTCCTCCCACTTTTGTTGGGCATAGCAACATTCAGCTTTTTTGCCACCTCTGTATGAAGCGATGCCCTTGGTTGAGGGGCCATGAGGAGGCTCTGAAACACCCAGATCAGGCAGCAAAAAATGGAAGGAAATCCAGCAGAGAGGGTTTGAATTTCCATCCCCTCTGCCCAGGTATTTCCAAGGCTTACCTGCTGGTGCTCACTGCCCGTTATGGCTATGAATCATAACTCAGGATCTGGGCTTGAGAGAAATTGAAATGCACCTCCTGGCTCCGGGTAATTTATAACCTGAATGTTTATRGGGAAGAATGGGGGTGAGTGGCACTGTAACAGCGAGCTGATCGCTCAGCGGAGACAACCGGACACTCGAGAGCTAATGAAGTTTGTCTCTTTCTGCCTTCTGCACACAAGAGATGCACTTGGATAAATTTCCTTAATTAATTTTTTGCTATTGTCTCATTTTCTCTGTTCCTTTGTTGCCTGATCAATCTTGTTATCTGAGTTTGCTCCTTYTCTTTTGAAACTGATACGTGCAAAAGCTGCAGCAAAGATAGCTGAGCTTTTGAGGTTTCGCATCTGTGACTCATTCTACTGTGAACCGAATGTATTATTTTCTTAGAGTCTTTACCCTTTAGAAGATATAGTTTTTGTTTTAATTTTCTTAAATGAACAAAATTAAGGTAAGCTATGTGATGAGGGAAAAGAGATTGATCCTTACGTATCAGTTCAGTTATGTCAGACCATTAATTAGCAGCAAATAGCTGCCTGCACGAAACAGTACAGCAACTTTCTGGATACCAGATTCTTTTTCTGCAGAGTCTGTGGAAAAGCCCAGCGTGGACTTGGCCACCTCAGCCCCAACTGAGCTTTCTGTTGTGCCTTGGTGCAGTGAATGACCGTGACTTACAAAACGCTCCTGGCTGATATTATTGTGACTTCGATATCCAGGGAGATGTTTATAACTCTGGCCTTTTATTAATACTCTTTGCCTTTCTAAGGTGATGATTCCACATGGTATACAAGAATGTATAATGCCATTCTTGATACCGTATCAGCAATCTTGGTGCGTCTACCCTTTTGTAAATACGTGAGGCTGCAGAGAGAAAAGCAGAGCCACAAAGAGAATTGCTAAAGCGGGCCCGATGTGCCTTGCCAAACAAAGGCAAAGTTCAAACTGCATTGGAGATCGAGCGCCGAGGAATTGCTCGGCGGCCACGGCTGCCGAGCCGCAGCCCTGTAAAACTCTGCTAATCCTTCCCGTTCCGCAAGGCGCGGGAGCCCTGGCTTCGGGTGGGGAGTCCTTATCCCAACCAGCACCCCTAGCCCTGGGGATTGATCTGCCCCTGGGCAGGGCCCCAAAAGGGTGTGAGCCGCTTTAAATTGCCTCCCAAAATTTGTTTGGGGCGAAAGAGCATCATTTTAAATAGGAACTCAAAAATCTCTCGTTACGTGAGCTCTTTCCAAAATCATCAAACAACTCGGGCATTGCTAAATATTTAGAAGTGTTGGGGGAGAAAAAAGTGTTACACAGACTAATTGAAGTACGGTGGTAGATACCTTTCCTCMTGCTCAATTTATTGTTTTTCACTATTGGCTTTATTAACATGCACCTAGAGTTGCACGTTGCTGTAATCTCCCTGATTAAGGTGTGCTGAAAGCTGCCGTCGGTGCCCGCTGTCCGAGCGCCTGGGTCTCGCCTGCCCTGCGCCCGCAGCGCCCGCGGGCTCGAGGACGAGATGCTGCTGTTCCAGCAAAGCCGGCTAGGACCCGTCCTCTGATTTAAACAGGGAATCAGGTGCCTGAGCACGTAGCATCGTCAGGCAGGACGAGCATGCAACTGCGGGAGGCTGCAACCGAYACTCTATTATTATTATTATTTTTCATACGACTTTTTTGGAGCACCTTCCCTGTCTTTTACTTTGCTACCAGTATTACTGAGCTGACCAAAAGCCTGGTTTTTGCTTGTCCAGTGAACACACATGGTTAAAACGTAGTCAGAATCTCTCTGGCCAAARAGACTTAACTCTGCTTGCCAGCGCTTTGCTGCTGAGCCACCTTTGAGCTGTTCCTGGGGTGCTGCGATGCTGAGTGGGGTGCAGCATCTTGACAGCCATTCATGCGGTGGATTTTTTTTTTCTTTCATTAAATAATTGTCTCAAAAGACATTCTGCTTCCCCAAGGATGAGGTAGTTAGAGCTGCCCCACAAGGCCTCTAGAAACAAAATTGCAAGAACTTGCTATTCCCCTAAGAAGGGAAAATGATTTCAGTGCAAGGCTCATGTTGTTTCCTAAACAGTGACTTGAGGAAATTATTTAACAGTAGAGCAAAATAAAGGTCCTTTGTAAATAACTCTTCTCTACCTGATCTATCCTGTTCACAAAACACGTGTGATAACTTCTGCTGTGATCTTGTCTTTGATATTACAAGCTTGATTTTGTTGTTTTTTTGTGTTTTTTTTTTTATTCAGTATATCTGGAGCTGTATAATTTAAATAATATATTTAACATATAGTAGAAGTAATTGTATGCATGCAAACATCACCCCAGATCCCAAATGCAGCCATTGGGAAATGTATTTTGCTTTGTGTCAGTGCGCTTTGCAGAGAAGCTTTTTCTTAAAAAAAGCTCCCCATTATGATACCTATCAGCTGGGAAGCCTAAGATCTGTTTGGCGAATCAGTAGCAAAAATGGCATTTAAATATTTTGCTCTGTTAATGCTTCAAGGTTAATAAAACCTGCTGTAAGAAAATATTTTGAGATATAGATATTTAGAGCGGCTGGATTACTTTTGACAACAGTGCAAGGAATCCATTCAAAGCTGATTTCCCCCTTTTGTTTGCCGAGGACCTGCAGAATCTAAGATAAAAATGGCAGTTGTCCTGAGGGCACCCCGAGGCATGTCATTAAAATTGGAATTTGATCCTCTTTTCATGGTTACTTGGGACAATCAACCACAGCAAACCTGAAAACTCATCAGTTTTCAAACATACGACTTGCCCTTGACTTTGTTGGGTCGGACGCAGCGTGCCAGATTTGAGTGTTTCAAAATCCCTTTAGATGTCACTCTGTCTTCAAGAATACAAACGCTGGGCCTTGTGCTGGATACAACAGCTTTAAATATTTCTGAGCACTTCTCCTATTTATGAGGAGGAACAAATGAAGTTGTAGTCATCAAAATAACGTGCTTTACTTGAGAACTGCGAGCACTGATAATTTTAATGAATAGGAACACACCAAGTCCAGTTCTTTTAACCATTAATACACTAGCCCCCTCCGCCCCCAGTGCAAAATTGTCAGCTGCTGTGATTTACTTTGCAGATGATCTGAAATAATTTGGAGCTTTCCAAAGCTGTGTGAAACTCTCCATTCTACCGGGCTCTGTAT